CGAATTTTCTTCCATACAAAGTATGTTCAACGATTTCTTTGTATGGACAAAATGAGCAACACCTTCCACACTTGTGCACTTTGAATTGAATGGGCTACAAAACTGCAACTCAGGATGTTTCTAAGAAATCTAAATAAAAAGCTCAAAATTTGAATTAAACTGTGTCCAATTTTGCTAATGTTTTACAAAGTTTGAAATTTTGACTTACATAGATTTTGCCAGATCACGAGCTATACTTTTATAAAAAAATTATAAAAATTAAATGATCGAAAGAGAAAGAATAGCCAAAGAATGCAAAAATAATTCTTCCCTATTTATATTTTCGACACTGTATCTACAGCTTATAATTTTCATATCCATGATTATTTTGAGGAAAGGACTTAATATTCTTTTTTATAATTTTACTAAATTCAAGTTAGAATCGTTTCATTAAAAATAAAACAATAAACTTAAAAAAAATTATAAATCCCCAAACAAATTAAAAGAATGACATACTGCAATACAGCGTGGTTTCAAGTTTGACAGAATAAAACATAACCAAAGATCATAGAAAATACGGATTCTGGCTATGATTACGGCTCCCTTATATTCTCTGTCCTCTGTGATAACGAAGGTGCTGCCACGTTTGCACGAAAATTTGTTTTTGGACCAGAGTACACAGAGACTCTTATTAAATTAATAAATAAAAAACCCAAAAGGCTGGACTTAATCGGTACAAATATGAAAAATGGGGACATTTATACGTCCCGACTTTTAAAAAATGTTCAGCCAGACAATTTTCTCAAAATCGGAACTGGCCCGCCAAAATCGGTACGAATGGTTACCCTAAGGACATATATGACCCTGAGTAAAAGCACGCAAGCCAGCAAAAAATTGCGGTATTACACAATTGAAATTTCAAACCATTTTGATTTAGATTACATTTGCACATTTTTGTTAATAATTTCTTTTGATCCAGTAAAATTTTAGACATTCCCAAATTATTACTTTAAATATTTTACTATAAATACTTACCGGAAACCCATCCAGTGACCATGCGAATTGCGGTAAAGGATTACCAGTTGCTACACATTTCAATGATACAGTCGGTCCTGGCTGCAGTGTTTGCTCCGAAAACCAATAAAGCAATTCCGGAGAAGCGTCTAAGTAAAATAAAAAGCAAACATATATATGTAATTTCATTAAAGAATTGTAATAGGATTTAACGCATTTCAATTGTACTTTTTCCGACTTTTTCGAAACAAAAGGTTCATTCGGTACACTGAACTCAATTTAGGTACAATTAGACGATAGCCAAAGGAATATCCATATTTAAGACTACGTTGCTCGCGAAAAAAGAAATTTAAGAAAATTTTTGTAAGCAAGGAGAAATGGGAACTCATATATCATTGTGAACCAAGAATGATAGAATACAAGATTGCGCCAATCGAGTTGAGAGCAACTGGCCGTGACGTCAAAAAATACCAGAATGAGAGAGCAAGACGAACTCGAGAAGAAAAAGAGGAAGCATCGAACAAAAGGCAGTATTGCCAAGTTTTGAATTTGAAAAAGCACCAAATTTTTATTGGTATATTTTATGGACTTTATATATATACATACATAATTTCATTGTAAGGATTCCGATTCAAATTAATAAAAATCAATGTTTCTTGTACGACGGTCGATTTCTTCTGGCTTGATTGATGGTGCTGCCACATATTTTATTGTCGCTTATGATTGTCACTGTGCCATGATTTTGTTAAAACTTTTGTAAAGTTGCTTACCACACTTACGAATGCTCTAAATTTTGCTTTCATTTTTTTATATTTTCTAATTTGGTGTCTTCAAACTAAAAACAAAAGCACCAAAAACGCACCAAGCACAAAACTCAAAAATTTTCGCGTTTTGAATACCCACTAAATTTGGCGCGAAAAGCATCCAGTTGGCAACAGTGAATGTAAACAAAAGTATTTTATGACGTCAGCGATTGGGTGGATGCTGTCAAATCGACGAAGAGAGGGTTAGCGGTCCGCGAATGGCGCGACCTTTATTTTCTGGATCGTGATTGTGAACATGTCATTGGCAAAGTTCCTTTACTAAATTCTTTGCGAACAATGAAAAACTCCTAACGTTTTGAGGAATTTTAAGCAAAGTGGACACACTGCATGTGTGTCAATTTCAATTGGGAATGAGTTGAAAGTGCCAAAAATATAATTAAAGGCGGAAATATCTGTAACCTGAATGTACTCTGGCGGGAATTTATTCTTGCAACGATGGATAGGTAGTAAGTAAAATTTTAACTCAAGTTCGGCTGGCCACGAAGTACCACATAAGGTTTTGTATGAAAGGCCTGGTTTAGAAAATAGACCCAAATGCTTTATGTACGCAGTGCAATCTAGGCCAAATAGAAAGCCTTGAACTTCTGCTCTTCAAGTACCCAATTTATTATTTCTTTAGGGACTACTACCTAGGACCACTTCTATAAAAGTTTGAAAGCAATCCAATACAAATATTCCAATTGACCGACCAATTTAGTTAGCATGGTGTACCTCTATGTTGTTAACTGTTTGCGATTCAGAGCCAACATTTTAAATGCATAAATTGTGTAAACTAATGCCATTTTCTTAAATACTATTTTAAGTTTTTTCACTTTCACATGTAAACATGTAAACTCAAATGTAACTATCGGAAGGACTGCTAAAAACATACAGTTCATAAGCAGGGTTTAATAAAATGAATTAATGAATGATACCGAAAATTTTCTTTTATTTCAAAAAATATTTAGAGGTCGATCAAAGCGCTCAAAGTTTTCCATGTATTTTATATGGGGAAAAACAAGTTTTCGTAGAAATGGTATAAAATACTTGAAAATCAATATTTTTGATCGGAAAACGTTTCTTCTCTTTAAGAGACTGCCAATTATAATACTCAATTGTTAATTTCACCATTTCTAATAATAGCGATTTTTTATGGGTCCCCATTGGAATTTTTTTTTTGGGGTCCTATAAGAGATAGTTAGTACCATAAAACGGTTAAATAAACAATTGAATATTATTGTTGAAAATCTCCAAAAGAGAAACAAAGTTTTCCGATCGAAAAATATTGATTTTGAAAAAATCTATACCACTTGTACAAAAACATGTTTTTCCCATATTAAATAGATGGAAAACTTCGAGCGCTTTGAGCGACCCTGAAATATTTTTTTATTTCCAAATAAAAACATTTTTATACCCGAGCGCACTTGTGCACAAGGGTATTATAACTTTGTTCACATAACGGTTGTTTGTAACAGGCAAAACGAATTGATATAGATATAGACAAACGTATACATAAATGATCAGAATGAAAAGAGAAATCGATTAAGCGGTGACTGTCTGTCCGTCCGTCCATCCGTCCGTCCGTCCGTCTGTGCACACGATAACTCGAGTAAAAATTGAGATATCTTAACGAAACTTGGTTCGTGTACTTCTTTTGGGCATAGGACGGATGGTATTACCCATATAACGGTAATTTTCAGATATACGAAAAGTGCGATATTTTAGTAACTACTGAAGATAATTCACTCAAAATTGATATTTACAATGAGTTTTAGACGAAAAATAAGAATGTTAAAAAATTTTGTCAAATGGGCGTAGCCACGCCTACTTATGGTTACATGTGTATATCTTGGTAACCGCTGCACCAATTTCTTCCAAACTTGGCACAGTTGTTGGTCCTGCTACAACATACCAAACGGCCGAATTTTTAAAATCGGACAATAACCACGCCCACATCCCATATAACGGTAATTTAGAAAAATACGAAATCCTCGATAAATCAGTAAATATTTAAGCTAATTTATTCAAAATTGACGGTTGCAACAATTTTTTTAGCAAGAAATACGCTTATGATACAATTTTGGAAAATGGGCGTGGCACCGCCCACTTATGATCACATATATGTATCTCGCTAACCGTTCTGGCATTTTGAACCAAACTCGGTATGGTTATTGTGCTTGCCACATAAAAGTAAAGCGTTGAAAATTATTGAAATCGGACTAAAATTACGACCGCTTTTCATATAACGGTATAGTTCAGAAATGCTTGAAACTGCAATATTTCGAGATTTAAGGACGCTAATTTACTTAAAATTTATACACCCTGGCTTATCGTGTAGCGGTAGCTTTCGGAAAGGTGGAAAACATATATGTATTTAATAATTGCGCCGGGTATTTAATGATCGGCTCCGCCCGAACTTAGACTTTCTTACTTGTTTCGGTATAATATAGGGATGTGAGATTAATCGGTTAATCAAGTTTTTAATTAATCATAATCCTGATTTATCAAATAATTTGATTAATCAGATTCTGATTAATCATATCCTGAGTAATTACTGTTAACTCAAAAAAAATTTATTGAAATCTGAATAACTTTGTTCATTTCATTTGAGTTCGCTTTCAAATCAAATTAATTTGTTTTTTTATCCTCGTTTAAAGTACAAAACCGCGTATCGTTATTCTGCAAACCCCGTAACTGACATTGGCTGCCAAAAATTGGATTTGCTCACACAAGCTCTTGGCTCAATCCTTTTATCCATCGTCCTGAAATATACTAGCCAGAAATGCGATTGCTTTATAAAAACGAGAACCATTTTGAAATATGAGTGTTTTTACGCTCTAGAAAATAATTTCTACAAATTCATGTACGCGGTTTTGCATTTTGTTGATAAGCGGTTTTGCACTTTAAACGACGATATGTATGTTTGTATGTACAAATATTTATGTTCGTATGCACATTCAATATTTTGCTTATTGATAAAAGTAAAATGCCAAACAAGTACGTACTATAAGAAATTAGATAGATGAGAATGTGCAAATTTTTGGAACGTAAAATTGTTTGTCTGAAAAACAAATCCATGGAATATCACCACACCACGAGGGACTACGCCCCTCGTGCCGATGGGCGGGAACGGAGGGTAAAAACCGTTGGGATTATTATTATTATTTTAAGCGATAACAGAGAAACATGTAAATTTCGTTATGATAATGTTATATTTGTTGCAAGTGTTTGGCTATGTCTTGCTAGGTTGCAGGTGGATGCAGAAACATATTCATGTACCTATATTTTTTATAAAATTAAATAAACTAAAAGTAAGATTATATTAAATGTACTTTTATATTAGTTAAAATTCTTCTTCTTCTTATTTGGCGCTGTACCCGCCTAAGCGATTTTGGCCGAGTTCAACGAGGCACGCCAGTCGTTTCTCTTCTGTGCCAACTGACGCCAATTGGAAACGCCAAGTGAAGTTGATCTTTCTGATGAGTGACTTATAGAGTGTGGTTTTCGTATGTCGTGAGCAGTGTTGCCGTTTTAGCCCTAGGCTAGATTTAGCCACCACATACTTTTTTTGGCCATATAAATTTAAAATTGCCCCTAGCTCTTATTTTAGCCCTTTTTAGAACTTATTCATACTTGGCATGAAAAACTTGTATATGCTTAATTTGATCTAAAATTTGTTATTCATATATGTAAGAGATGAATTTTTAAACTAAGAAAGACTGATATATATACATATATGTATTTTATGTTCCTTACGTTTGTATACTACTATAGTTTAAAGCAGATAAGTTTACGGTCCTTAATATGCTTTATTTGTTAAATGGATTGACCATGTATGTTCTTGTGGTGTGATTGTACCAGCTGCTGGTGCGACTTCAAAAATTATTTGAAAATTTTAAGATTGTACCAGCATGCTGGTGGTGTGAGTGGTGAAATTAGCTAAATTTTCTAAGAAAAAGTATTTTGGCGGAAATTTCCTGCCCTATATGGGTCAAAGCAGTGTTTGTGGAAGACTTAGTTCACGATATTGCAGTTGTGAATTAAAAAAAAAAAACAATGTTTAACAAAATGGCAGACGAAATTATGAAATTTCGGCTCTAATCATTTCGATCTTTCCTCGACCTCATTTGTAAAGAAATAAATACTGTACCAGCATGCTGGTAAGTTATATGAGCCAGCAAGCTGGTGTCGTTTATTTCCCCTTTTATACAAAAAGGTTTTTGGTTGGATAAAATATTAGCTTTTTTCCAGACTTCATTGTTTTGCTATACCATTACTTATTGAAAATGTTTGCGTGTATACTTATATATGTATATGTAGTAAAAAATTTAGCTACCATCTTTAGCCACAACGACTTTTTTATCTCTTTTTTAGCCCTTTTTTCAACGGAATTTGGCTACCGCTAAAAATGATGCGCGGCAACACTGGTCGAGAGAGGACTTTACTCCTGAATTGCCTACTCAGTCCAAAGTAGCACTTGTTGGCTAGAGTGATTCTGCATTGGATTTCCATGCTGGCATTAGGTTTGTATAGTAACCAATAGTCAGTACTAATTTGTACTGGAACCTGCAAATTTTTACTGG